ATTAGCTGCTAAATAAAAATGCCAAAAAATGACGGATAAATTTTACTGTATTGATTTCTCATAGAATTTAAATAGTTAATACGTTTCTTTATTTCATCAATGTTATTGAATGCTTTCCATACTTATTTTATTATACTTTATATTTCTATCTAATAAACCTTTCAACAATTTTATCATTTCTTGAATAATTAGAATCAGATAGGTAAATCTGATTTAGCCTTAATTATTTAAGCCAACAATGTTAGTTCTTGGTTTTTTTTTTACATCTAAGTTTGTATTGTAATTCAGTTTAGTGGAAAAGTAAATGATACTGTCCGATATTCTTTCTCATATTTTCAAAACTTTTTGATATCATTCAGTTGGATAGAGACGTGTAAGAAATCCTTCGATCATTACTTTTTACTTTCCTCCTCTCCAAATTTCATCTTCTCATATTATCTTCAAAAATTTGTTAGACTTAATTGAATAACTTAAATATCAAAAAAAAAAAAAAATCGTTTCGACATTTTACTTGTTGCATAATTAGCGTTATGATCGTTAGGACGATGTTGCTAACTTTGAAAAGATTTCATTATATCCTTTATCCATTATCATATGACATTTCAAATATGTTAATCAGTGTCAACGTCATTTGAAATATTTTGATCAGATGAAGACGAGAATGTTTGTTGTTTACATTTCTTTTAAAAAAATGAAATTATTTGCTTTCATTATTTTAGTTATTTCGACGATGTCTTTTGGTGTACGCCTACCTTTAGCGAAAGCTGTTTTCGATCAGTTCATTGGTCTCAAGCCACATCCATCTTTTTGTCAGGTATACTTCCCCAAAAATCTAATAATATCTTTTTGGTTATTTACATATAAAATTTAAGTATTCATATTTTAGGCAACATACATTTGGATCGATGGAACGGGTGAAAATATGCGTTCAAAGACGCGAACCATTCCGGAAGTACCGAAAAGTGTTGACGGTTAGATATTTGATAATTGATCATGAATTTGCAGAAATTTGTTGTAAAAATCAAGCATTGTTAGGTTTCGGCAAATTGGAATGAATTTTCAACGACCTTTTGTGCTCACAAAAATAGAACTTTACAGTTTATGTCATTTTAATTTTTTTTTAAAGATTATCCATTGTGGAGTTTTGATGGTTCTTCAACTGGACAAGCTCGATCAGGTCAAGATTCTGACACATATCTTAAGGCTGTTGCACATTATCCTGATCCATTCCTTGGTGGTAATAATAAACTTGTATTGTGCGAAACATACGATCATGCTATGAAGCCCACCGGTTTGTTTATGTTAATTAACTGAGATATAATCAGCTTAATTGATGAGAAGAAATAACTTGATTTGCTTAAACTTATTTGAATCTTTTTCATAATTATTCATCGAACGGGTAAGAGAAAGTTTCCCTTTGCATTATATTATATCCTTTAATTTAAGGAAATGCAAAATTTGTTACACTATTTGTTATTTTTATTGAGAGATGCTTGTCTTATTGGAAAAGGAAGAAATTATTGAGAAATTTTGTTTTTAAATATATCATTCATTAGCTTAACATCCTCGTAAAGAAAAGTGATAGAAAAGCTACAAACTTATCCTGAACTAGATGTTTAGGTAAAAGTTTGGAAATCCTTAATTAATGCAATGGAGATAAATAATTAAGTTGTGTGGAATAAATTAACTTTTGATTAGTTATCTTTTGGATAACTTTCGATTAATTAATTTTCATTTCCTTTTTTTTAGATTATTATTTTTTTTTTTTAAATTGTAGCCACTAATCATCGCAATCTCTGCAATGAAATTATGGAGAAATGCAAAAGCGAGAAAATATGGTTTGGTATGGAACAGGAGTATATACTTTTGGATAGGTATACGAATTACTTCTTATAATTTCCATTTTTATTACATTGATAATTTTACTAATTTATTCTTTTAAAATAAGGAAGAAAAGAGAATTAAATGAACTTTTTAGGGATGGTCATCCATTAGGATGGCCAAAGAATGGTTTTCCAGAACCACAAGGCAAATATTACTGTGGTGTTGGAGCAGATAAAACATATGGTCGGGAACTGGTCGATGCACATTATCGAGCTTGTCTACATACTGGCTTACAACTTTTTGGCATAAATGCAGGTGATAAAATAGAGAAGTTTTGATAATTTAAAAATTTGATTATTTCATAATTGATCGTCCAAATATCTTGAGATTCTCAAGATGTATGAGATTTATGTGATCATTCTAGTATAATGAATAAAAAATATAACACTAAAGTATTAATAATTTATTGCGAGTAATTTATTAAAATGAATGCAATTTTTGAATATTTTATTAAAAAGAAGAAAAAATTTGTACACTTTTCAGGGAATAACAATTTAGTTAATCCATTTTTATTAGTATTTTCTGATATATAAGATGTTGAGAATATAGGAAGAAGAAAATGATCAAAAAGATGAGTATTCTCATAATCATTCGTATTTGTTGAAAAAAAAAAAATGACAAAAATGTTAACAAATATATTTTAGCCTCTAAATGCATCTAAATTATAATACTAATTTGGTTCTATTACATTACCAATAGTTTTAACTTATACGGTGCTCCTATTATATTACACTTCTGATAATGGAATTTTCGAGTTTGAACTTATATCTTGAATTGATTCATTTAGCATATTACAGAAGTAACACCTGGACAATGGGAATTCCAATTAGGCACATGTGAGGGTATTTCTATGGGTGATCAACTTTGGATGGCACGATACTTACTATATCGTATTGCTGAAATATATGGCGTTCTGGTTACGTTTGATCCGAAACCACCAATAACAGGTTTGGAATTCTTTGTTACTTCAGCTAAAATTTCTCATTTATTTGTTGTTTATTTAATTAATTAAAGTATACATTTAGTTGGTAACTGGAATGGCTCTGGTTGCCATTGTAACTTTTCGACAGAGAAAATGCGAGCAGAAGGTGGCATTAAATACATTGAAGAAGCAATGCCGAAGCTTGAAAAGAAGCATAAAGTATTAATTTTTTAACTTGTTTGAAAGAAAATACGAAGTTAATTATTTGAAAAAGCTATTTGCATATCTAATTTTTAGGAGCATATAGCCGTGTACGATCCACATGGTGGCACTGATAACGTACGACGTTTGACAGGCAAACATGAAACATCAAGCATTGATCATTTTTCATGGGGTATTGCTAATAGGGGAGCTTCAGTTCGCATACCAAGAGTTGTTGCTAGAGAAAAAAAGGTTCAATTTCTCAAATAATCAAATATCCGATATTTTTCTCAAAATTTCTTTTTTTTTTGGTTTCTTTTTTGTTTTTAATATTTCTAAATTATAATTTTTGGATAAGTCAAATCAATATTTCCATTCTTGTAGTTACTTCTTACCTTTGTTACCTGTAATCTTTCCTTTGTAGTACGAAAAGAATAATTCAAATAATTTTTTAGTTGTCTAATTAGATTTACCTTAACCTCGATGATATCATAATTATAGATTCATCTTGATCTCTTCATTTTAATAAATACACCAACTACTCAGAAGATTTTGTATAATTTTTTTTCTTTGCAGGGTTTCCTGGAGGATAGACGTCCATCATCGAATTGCGATCCATATGCTGTTACTGGAATATTGACAAAAACAATTTTGCTTGATTAAGTTACAGGCAACTGATGTGTTTAGTATTAATTTGTAGTTATCATCTTCTCTAAATTATTTCATGCATTAATTTCCAATTTATTTTTTTTAAGTGAAATGTCAAGGAAAATTCAGGCTTATTGTGATGACAACGTTTGTTTACGAGAAATCAGAATAGGCTTTTAATCTTTGCGTTATTTCGCTTAGTAATGCAATTTGAATGTCAACACTATTGATTATTTCAGATTCGAAATCTTAAAATGACATTTTGCTATAACACAATATAGTCTTAATTGTTTTATTCTTATCTTCTCTCTCCTTTTTTTCTTTTTTAAATTCACAAATAGTTCAGGAAATTAAGACATCTCAACTGCAATACTCTAATTTCTTTTCAAATTGAAACTGAAGCGCAAAACTCTCTGAAAGCGCTATTGGTTTTTTTTCCACAACTATTTTTTTTTATTCCAGTTATTTTGAGACTATTTGCATTTGAAGCAATATCATTTACTTTTCGCTTCCTCACTTATTTTCATGATCAGGATTCCGGAAATGTTCAGGTATGGAAACGATTTGTAGAAAAAAATATGTTAAATTATTCACTGTTAAATTCTAATTCTAATTACTGTGGTATTGTAAAAGTATGCAGAGGATAGATGAATAACATTGAAAAGTTTGATACCTTCTTCTCTCACTGTTATTTCTTCTGAATGCTAATGAACGAATAAGTATTAAGAGAAAGAGAAAGTTTTTATTTTTCTCATGATATTATTGTATCATTTGTTTTCAAATATAATCTTTTTCATACTACATGACAAGACATTGTTTAATGAAACGGAACAAAATGGATTACAATAACTTTATACCTTTTTGGATAGTAGTAGTAACGATAAGGTTGGCAATGGACATGGACAGTAGTGAGCATCTGGACCAGGTAATCCAGGTGATCCAACCTGAAATTATAATTATATGAGAGTGAAGTGATTATATTGCAATAAATAACGAACATTCTACTTTGGTAACTGAGTTTTTTTAGCAAGCACATTTGCCGAATATTCCAGATAAATTAAGATAAATGAAATTTATAACGCTATTTGATTGCGTTATATAAAATCCTCACCGTTCCTGGACGTCCATCTTTGCCCTTGTGTCCAGGAGTACCAAAATTTCCTGGCAAACCAGGTTTACCAGGAGAACCATGAGGGCCGTCACTACCATTCCTACCTGGAGGACCAGATAAACCACGTTGTCCACTTGGACCTTTTTGGCCCATTACACCTCTTTCATATGTACCATCTCGTCCTGGTGGGCCGGGTTCCCCTGATTTTCCAAGAACACCAGCTGGTCCAAACTGTCCTGCATCTCCTCGTCTACCTGGCGCACCTGTTTTTCCCGGTGGTCCAGCACTACCGTTGCGTCCCATTGGCCCGCTATCACCAGGAGAACCGGGAAGTCCGGGTCGTCCTGGTGGACCAGGTGGACAATGAATGCAATCGGTAGATATTCCATGGCTGGTCATGATAATAATGCCTGGTATACCATTATGGCCATCCTCTCCTGGTATCCCATCATAACCCTTCCAACCTTCATCACCTCGTGGTCCAGGTGGTCCTTGCAGACAATCGTTCGCAGAAGGACCGCATTCTGAAATTTTAAGAAATTCAAGAGTAAAAAGGAAAAATAACAATTTTCACAACTAGCATTAGTCATGTTTTGGTTTTCTACATTTATCTACATACTTGTTTGAGTATAGCAACATTCAAAACTTACTGCAACCTTCCGAATCAAGTTGTCGTTTATGACGATCAAATAATTTAGCATAGCTTGGTGTAATTTGCGCTTTACCGGACGGATAAGTATGCAGTAAACGAATGGTATACCATGCATCATCAACTATCACCTGAAAAAGTTGTCATCATAAAAGGTATTTCAACATGTAACACCATCTGTTTCAAAATATAAAAGATCACTTTAGTGTAATTACTCTTTCTTATGGTTTCATTTTCATTAATTAATCAATTTTTTTAATTCAAAAACGAAAGTTTCTTTCACAGGAATAAAATGCAATTCATTTGGATCATCAATTATTTTACATTCTCTGTAAGATTTTAATAAAGTAGAATTGTTGTCATGATAATATTCAAGAGTAGATAGATTTAAGTGGAGATGTTTTGAAAGGAAATTTGACTAAAATAAATTCAATAAAAATTTTATTGTTGCAAAAAGCTGATCACTGAACAGGATTCAAGCTTCAGTTATCATTAGATAAAGTAAAGGTTAGGAGTAGGTAAAGATTCAAGCTTATTCATTTCTCACTATAGTAGATGATAACTGATAACTTCACGAACTTTTTCATCTCTTTATCAGTATTATTCCAATGTTAGTATTGTTGTTACCTTCATGCTTATTACCTTGTTTAATGTTTTGTATCTAAAAAAAAAAAAGGAAAAAAAAACAAGAAATGAAAACCTTAAAATCATGGAGTTCGTCCATGACATCTTCATATAGTGCATTCATATCATTAAACAATGCGACAACAACAAATAATGTCACGATAGTTGCGCATGCGCTAATTGTTATGGTGACAGCAATGAAAATCTTGGCATTCATCATGTACAGTTAGGCTGGAAGGATCAGAGTAAAGGAAATGTTTAGTCCTTTTTAAGTTTTGCAATCAAGTTCTTTGCTGTTTAACTATCATCTCATAGAATTATGTAAAGGTCGTGGAAAATTTACTGTCAGACGTGAAAGAGAGCTGTAAGGGACATTTCACATATCACGTAAGTGAGAAAGAATGGAATGAACTTTGGATTAAAATCCAGTCTAAAAAAAAAGCAAAATATTGAAGTAAAAATATATGGCCGTTTATGGAAACCTTTCATTACTTTATCTTTTTATGGAAAATAATTGCATTACTTTATCTTTTTTAAAAGAAAAAAAAAAAACAAGCAATAAATGGGCCAAATTTAAAGGCAACTCTCCTCTATTGAATGATTTAATCATATATATAACTGAAAATATACTATCATTTGTGAAAAAATTAACAAAATATTAGAATTGTACCAAAAGACACACTCATTCATATCATTCTCTTCTCCTAAAACTATACGAAATTTCAATTTATTGAAGCATTTTTATAGCGAAAAATTATTCGCCCTTGAATTTTCAATCTATCGACCTTCAACATCCATCATTTTTCCGATCGTAGAAACAAGGAGTAATTTTTTGTGACAATCTTACAGTTGAAGGTTATCATTATGTAAGGCTATTACAGTTATTAGTAGATTAAAGGATAATTCTTAAATTTAGTAACGAGAAAGAAAATGCTGTTACCAAAATGGCAAAAAAGAAAATGTGAATGAAATTCTTATGCAAGTGAAACAACCTGTTTCATATGATTTAAATTCTGTGGAATTTGTTTGAAAATGACCGGCTAGAAATTTGTTCTCAAAATGATTTTTTTATCACTTTTATCATTAATACTTTTTCGCTGACTTGTTGATACAAAATAGATCGAAAAGATAAGTTTCATTACAGATTTCGGTAAGTTATAATACAGTACCATGGGTAAATTTTGCCCAACATGATAATGCTTAAGTAACTAAGGGTAACTTTTAGGTATATTACGAAACAATGTTTGAGAAGATCGCAGAATTTGCGATATCATCTTTAGTATTGGAATTTGCATAATTAATTGCACTCTGAAATACTGATTTGTATGATTCAATAATGCTAGTTCTAAATACTCAATTCTTGCTCTTGATAACTGTCGCCATTTCTGAATTATGTCACACATGTTGTTAAAGAGAAAAAGACTGGAGGACACTACTACTACAACAATTACTACGACTACTACTACTACTTCTGCTATTACTACTACCATTGAAATTGGTTAAACAGAAAGATTTGCAAATAAAAATCTTACCGTTTTTAACTTCTACAATGAATTACAATTTTTGACGATCAAAGCTCAGTACGATTCCAATTAATCCGAAAGTATTTGGTACATTATTTATTCATTTATTTATTACTGTTATTATTATTATTATTATTATTATTATTATTATTATTATTATTATTACTATTATTACTATT